GGGGAGTGGCCCCCGAGCCGGGGGCTGGGGCTGCTCGCCTGCGCCCTCCCCTCGGTCACGCGTGCGAGGCGGGCGACCGGTGCGACGCGCCGGCACTGACCTTCCCCTTGCTCCCACTGCCGTTGTCCAACCTCCCTTCCTGCTCCTCTTTCCAGGTTCTGGCTGGCGTGTGAGTCGCTGTGGTGTCCTTGTGTTGGCTTCCTGGTCCTCCACCTCGGAGGAACTAGACTGGTTTCCCTACCGGCCTACGTGCGTGGAGAGAGGGGGTTCGACTGGCTTCACCCAGGTTGATGCGGGACAAACACCGGCTTTGCCCTCGTGCTGTCAGTGCTGGAGAAGTCCCCCGCGCTCAGGCCCCTCCTAGCAGGATAAGCAGCTGTGTTTTCACGTAGCAGAGGTGGAGTCCAGTGTGTCTTTCCAAGAGATTGGTTTTATTTACTTCTGTACATACAGGGACATCTGTACAAAAATCCAACACTTTCATACTATGTAATGCTCTACTGAAAATAAAGTACACCATATGTACATATGAACTGTAAGCAGCTTAATACTTGTGTCCAGGGGGTGAATGCAGTAGTTTTGCTTGTTCCCTCAGGAGGAGGGAGCCGTGTGACGTGGAAGAGGCAGCTCCAGTTCTGTCCGTTTGGCTGATGTGGGGAAAGGCATAGGCAGAAATGAGCACTAATGCTAGAAACCGAGTGTGGAGCAAGGGACAGCCATAGCGTAGCAGACACAGGTCTGCACACGAGCAGTACGTGTGACAGAGAGGGTTAACACGCTCCCCCTCCTTCTCTCATGGTCCCCTTCTTAGATGTCCAGGACACTGGAATGAATAGGCAGCAAACTAACGGTAATGTTAAGGTACTAAGCGTAAGTTCCCTGACCCAGAACAATACACACAAAGCTATGAGAACATCCAAGCTGTACAGCATGTAGTTGTGATGCATTACAATCCTGCCCCTGTGCATGGCACAATCTCACCATTATTCCTCTGGATGTGGCAGGGGACTGCAGGTGGAGACAGACCATCTGAAGGACAGCAACAACCTCTGTGCACCAGAAGTCTCTGTTTCCTTCTGCAGGCGGAACAGCCCACAGCAGGGAAAGGCGGCCGCTCTTAGCGGCAAGCAGGCTCTAATGAGGGCACGTACATGCTGTAGCACTCTAAAAATGAGGTGGCAGCTTATAACACAACGCTAAGCAGACAAGTTGGAAAGACTCTGTACTGCAAAGGGAAGAAACGTCCTCCCCAGCCCAAGCCCTGCTGCAGGCAGCACTCGCCGAGTTTCCGCCCCCCCTGTCCCCTAGACCCCCCTGCCACTCGTGTGTGTTGTCTGGAATTACCCAGTGCACGTCTACATGCTGTGCTAGGCATGAGGTAACTGATTGGCAGCTGACCATGAGCTCAGACGAATGTTCAAAATAAGCAATAACCTCCCTGAGGTGTTTCATAGATCTCCTGATGAACTGGCCCATTGCTCGAAGCAGAGGGGAGGCAGGGTCTTGTGTGATGCGTTACGATTTCTCATATACTCACGCTTGCCAGCTGCTCCTAAGAGATGGTGGCATGTCTAACAGGCCAAACTGAAAGAAGCTCCACTGAAAAGAGCTAAAACATGCAAGAGCAACAGGGCTGAAGAAAGGAAAAGATACACTGCACACCAGCGGCAAGATCACAGGGGAAGAATCTATGACCTGGGAAGCCATTTGCTGGTGAGGACGAGAAGATACACCAGGACCTTCTACAACATCCCACAACGCTGCAAAGCAGTGGTCAGACTAGCGTCGGCCCCAAAAGCTCCCTACGCTGCTGCAAACCCCCTCAAGCTTACACGTCAAGAAAGCAAGCACAGCAGGTAAGAAGCAAGGAAGACCTCCTTCTCTCTCTTGCAAGCCAGCCTCTCTGAGGTGGCACCTCGGCCTGGGGCTGAAATCTGCACCACAAAAGGTGGGGGACAAAGCTTGAAAGCTGGATCACAGTAGCGCCCAAGTGCTGCACTAGTCCTTGGGCTATCGGCAAGTACATTCTAAAGGCTAAATGACCACAGCAAAGTCCCCAGTGTGCCATGTGATAACTAACAAGGGCCTTAGGCCACAGCAGGTGCCAAAGTAACAGGGCAAGGCAAATTTTGCTCAGGGCACCTGCAGAAGCAATTCACTAGTAGCAGCTAGCCACTGATCATAAAGAAGAGACGACTGAACACTCACAAACTCGGCCTGGCCCCATAATGCGTATCCATTACTTCCACTAACTTGCAGGAACGACTTTAGCAGCACAAGCTTCCTAGAAACTCCAGCCACTGCAGAGCTAAGGCTTGGATGGGACACAGTGACGAAGGGAGGTCTGCAGGAGTATTTGAATTGAGCAGGTAGAGGAAGGAAGCAAAAGTCAAGTTAATTCTGGGCCTATGACTACCCAAGATGCTGGGGTGGAAACAACTCAGCAAGGAGCAACACAAACAGCTGAAGGAATTCGTTTTCCCACAAGAGAGCTTCTAAGGATGCTATAAGGGGAGGGAAGCAATAGTATGTAGTGCTTACACCCAGTTTCCTCAGGGGTGGCAAAGCACTGAACGCCCACTCCACAGACAGGGGAACAGAACAGGGGGCTGGAGGCAAAAGAAGGGTGGAAGTGAACATCTCCGCTGTAGGCGAGGCTCTCCAGCTGCAGACCACCACCCCAAGGCAGGGCAGGGCAGGGCAGTGAGACAGCAGAGCCCCCACGAACTCATTCTGCTTCACGCTCCTGCCCAGAGCCCAGCCTGACCTCCGATCGCCACAGGGCTTGGCTGTACCGGCAGCACTGGGGAAGGCATGGCAGAGACGCACACGGGGCTTGCGGCAGCGCACTGAGCCGCACGCAGCTGTTTCTGGCCAGCACGCCCGGGCCAGGCAGCAGGGACAGGGTACATGCCACCCACCTCCGGCAGGCTGAGCTGGGCAGCCAGGCTCTTTGCAGTCAGTGAGATGAATTGCATCGTGGTTCTGCCTAGCTCAGGCACCCCTCAGAGATGAGCTGCAGAGGGGCCCAGTTCTCCCTGCCGATTACAGAGGGAGCCCAGAGCAGCTCCCACCAGCCTGTGTGAGATCAGCCTCCTGCCAGCAGAGGTAGGGGAGCAGCTCTTCAGTGCAGGGCAGTAAGGCTCTGGTCCCTGGGCAGAGCAAGAACCAGGCAGGGCTGGAAATGAAGCGACTCCTACTTGGGCTAATGCAATCACAGTCCAGGCAGGCTCCCTTCATGGACACACACTGAAGGTGGAGAAGCAGGAGGGAGGAGGAAAAGCAGGAGGACATGGCAGTGGTGAGATAAAGGGGACAACATAAAACCAGATCTACTCAGGGGGGATGTGGATGGAGTGGAGGACAGGCACAGCTCACCATGTTCATTCCTTTGTTAGACATGAGAACCGAGTGCATTTCTGTGACCCCTGGGGGGAAGGGACGGGGCAGAGCTTCCCATGCCAGCTCCTAGCCCGTCAGAGAGCCTCCTGGCTTGAGGTGAGGAACTCTTCTGCTCTCTTGTGGGCCTCCAGGGCTTTTATAGTGTAGACGTCCTGAGGAAGCTCCGATTTCCGGCGCAGCAAAACCTTCTCCTTCTTTATGTCTTTCAGCATCTACAGACAAACCAAAGGAGTCAGGGATCAGCAACAAACCTCAGCAGCCCTGCACAGCCTGAGCCTCCCCAGCCTGACTCCAGCTGCTCTCAGTTACGCAGGGTGGCCTTGCAGCATGCTGTGGGACAGGCTGGGATCCACACACAGACCACATGGACAAAGAGACAAGCCCTGCTTGCGTTTCTTCCCAAGTGGGAAGGACATAAAAACCCCACTTCTTCAGGCAACAACCTGATCTCTCATCCGAGGATCAGAGTAAGGGCGTTTATGCTCAGAGCACTTGGAAGCAGCACGTTCTGACCGCTGGGCACTAGACTCATTGCGCTGATGCCTTGATTGGTCCGAGGGGGACTGTGGAAGGATCTGAGACACCTACGCACCTGCACAGCCTCTGTCTCCACTGTTTTCTTCAGTAGCTGGATGTCCTCCGCAGTTGGGGTCTCTGTTTCCATGCAGCAGACAGGAGGCAGTGGTGGAGGTGCATAATACATGGGGTACTGCAGACAACGGAGACAGCTGGGGTGAGCACACTGCCCAGCACCTAACAGAGCATCCTAACAGAGCCTGGCATGCTTCTTCCAGCTGCTCTCTCTGCTGCTCACAAAGGCAGCAGAAGCACACAGGCAGGGAAGGAGCGTCTTCTTTTATCCATCCCTACTTGCGTCGTCTTCTATCCGTCCCTATTTGTGCCCCCCCGACTGAGCCACGTGCACTTAATGGCTGGCAGAGGAATCCGTGCTCGGGGACACAAACACATACGCTCTCTGTATGGCATTACTTAGAGGTTAATGCTGCCGAGGGCCAGGCTGGTGAAATACTGCCGGTGTCCCCAAGGCACTGGGACTTGGGAGGGACAGACTGCCACTGGAGCTTTGTGCACAGGGCTGCACTCAGCTGCTAGAGCCTCTTCTCACGAGCTGAGGAGGCAGGCCTAGACCCCTGGCATGTTTTTGCCTCATTTGCCCTAGGTCCTGCCGCTACCCACCTGGGGGTTCAGACGGGCCAGCTCCTCTATCTTCTGCCACATCTCTTCTCGTTCCTTCATCCTGAACCTTCCCCTGAAGGGAGAGAGAGGGAGAACAAGCATGAACTCCTGGGGAACGGGGTGCCTTTCACTGACGGAAGATGGGACCAGTGGCAGTCATGGGGACAGCAGGAGGGCACAGGCAAGGGGAATTACTGTTCTGTTCTTTACAGAGCCCTAATTCTAACTGAAGGGGTACAGCGAGAGGAAGGGACGCGCTGCAGCTAGCCCCGGCGGGAGGCAGGGGGGCATGCTCCCTGCTCCCCTCAGAGCACAGCGTGGCAGCAGGGGGCTGCACAGGTACTCGTTCCCTGACTTTTTGCTTCAGAAGCAGAGCCGAGAACCCAGTTTCTAGAGGAAAGCAGTGATACACCAGTTCGGATACTCCTTCCCGGTACCCCACACAGGCAGACGTGCATTTCTAACAGACATGGGGGTCACGTGCCCACAGTTCCTCCCGTCTCTCTCTGGCCGTAACATAGCACTCCAGAGAGCTGCCCCAGGCACGACTCTTGGGCTTGGCATGGATTTTAAGGCCTTAAGAGACCATTCAGTGTGACTGCCTGTAAATCCCAGGGCAGTGAACTTCTACCCACAGTCCTGGCATACCACGACTGCTGATGTAAACAAGGTATCCTCTAGAAAAGCATCCCAGCTCCAGCTGCAGACAGAGGGGAGAGTATCTACCACTCTCTGTTATTTTCTTCCACATTTAAACATTTTTGCTTTATTTCCAATTTGTATTTCTCTGGCTTACATCCCAGCCACTGGTCTCTCTACTGCCCTTTGTGTCCATGCTAAGACAGTTTTTATGCTCTGTAATCACCTCACACTCTCTGGAAATACATGTACGAGAGGGGGCTGGAAATGAGAATGAAGCTGCCAAGCACTCAAGCAGCAGGCTGCTCCATCAGAGAACTAGGGGCAGGGGGGGAATAATATTAATAATGAAAAAAAAAAATCTCATTTTCTGATAGAGCTCTGGAGGTCTCTGCAAGGGACTGCAACCAAGGTTTAGCACTCATCTTCTCCAGTTCTCTTCTATCTCCTCCAGCACCCTTTTTAACGTGTGGTAAACAGAAACGTATGCATTACTCCAAACCGCGTACTGGAAGCGCAGACCGAGATGTTTGTCCACTAACAGCCTCACATCACGAGAGTCACTGCCCTCCAAGGTGGCATCTACCTTGTCAGCATCATGTCTACTTCTGTGGAAGGCTGCAACAAAGCTGGTTTTGCTTGGCTGGACTATCTCAGGGAGCAAACGGCGCTCACCCGGTCTGTTCAGCTGTGCGTTTCTCCCCACCAGCTCTTTCCTTCCAGATCACCAGAGCCACGCTGCGGAGCACCAGCGGAAGCCCTCCGTTCCTCCCTGTACTTTCAGAACCACTAGGTTACTCATTGTTAACCTGTCACATGTGCTCAGCTGACGTTGTAAAAGGTCAGCTTACAAAGCTAATACCAGTGTTACTAAGAGAAAGGCTTTTAAAGAGCTGAAAGCTTTACATCTCTGATCACACTTTTCAGCCAAATGGGAATTTCCAAAGAATGAAACAGTTTCATCTTTGTTTCAATTAACGTAAGGTTGACTGCTTCAACTGTATTCTTGTGGCTGTCCAACATCCCACCGTAGGGGAAGTTTTCTCCCCACCTTGTAACTCGTAGACTGGCTTTACCTCCTACACTAGGACATTTTCATTGCAGTTTATCTGAAAGAACGTCACTTATGCACATGAGTTTTTGGAACACCCTACTTCTCCAGAGAGACTGCAAACAGCAGTTCCTCAAAGGCAGCGCCAAGTCCGTGGGAGCAGCTAATCAGGCCCTCCTGGCCTTGCTTTCTAGGTGATGCTCACCTCATCAGCTCCCTTCATTCCTGACACCTTCACAGGTAGCAAGATGAAGCCACTATGGTCCTATATTGGCAGGACATTTGGAAAAGAAGAACTATATTGGGAGGAATCTTCTCCCTCCCGCTGCTGTGGCCTACACAGAAGGGGATGAGAGGTGTCATAGATGTCAGGGTGAGCTCCAGGGCATGCTGACAACAAAAACGGGCATGTTGCCTATTGAAAGGCAGCGTTCAAGGCCCTAGCACCTTTCACAGAAGGACAGGGATTACTTGTCCCCTCAAAGAGCAAGGCCCAATGATTCCCACTCAGGCAGTCACCATATTCAGGAGAAGACAGTAACCATCTGCCCCAACCTCCTTACTATTTTCCAAAGGTCTCCGATAATTCAAACAGCCTCAAAACCTCCAGGGTGACTAGCAAGAAGCAGTCAGTCCATCCGCACTGGACAACAGAGAAACAGGCTGGCTCTCCATGCCCAGCCTTGCACCAGTGGCTGCGGCTGCACAGCAAGGAGAGCAGTGGCAGCAGGCCTGAGCTGGCACGTCACTCATAGGCATGGTAAATACTTAAAGTCAAGGCTAACCCTTTTCTGAGCAGGCCTCTTAACATCTGGTCGAAGACTAATTGTGTCTATACAATCTTTCTTTTTCATCATTTCACATTTACTGGCTTTACAAAGAACTCTGAGACACATTGCTCTAGTAAACCCAGATTTTTATCCACTCTCCCAAGTGCATTCTCTTTTTCTCCACCACTGTCCGACATCCCATCCAGTCCCAGGCCCCTTGCCCAACAAAGCCCTGGTCTCCCACCTCCTCTTCCTCCTCTAATTTGTTCCCTTGCCCTATTCTATTCCCACTATCCACTGAGAACAACCACCCCTTCCCATTGGACCTCATCCCAGTGCCTCCATCTCCTTTCCGACTCCTTGCCCCAACCAGCTGCTCTCTCCAACTCCCTGACTACGTTTTCTTATCTTTTCCCGGCGTGTCCTCATCGCCTCCCCTTTGTCACCTCCAAACCTCCATCTCAGGCTCCCCACCTCTCCCACAGACCTTCCACAATTTACTAACCTACTTTCCCCCTCCCACCTCTCCTCTCTCTTCAGAGGGAGACCTTTTCACACTACTCAAGCCAGGAAGAGATGGTGAGAAGGTGCTAATGACAGCCTTGCTTTCCCTCTTAGCACAGAGACCCATAAAGGCCTCCTTAGGTGGGTCGCTGGGGCAGGGAAACCCTGTTCAGGTGGAGAATTGCATCACACTCACAGTAGGTAAAGTCTTCTTCACAATCAGCTGCTAAAAGACATCTGCCCCCCACCCCAAAAGCTTTCAACTAATGTCTTACCAAAGTTGGTTAGCCAAGACAGTAAAAGGTGTATCCTTGACTAAAACCCAACACAGAGGTGCTAGACAGAAAGACTATCACGATCTTTTAACCAGAGCACAAACCAGTACAGCTCCACCCATCCATTTCTCAGAGGTCTGCACTGGTTTGTTGACCTTTTCCAGAGCAATCCTACATCAGTCACACAACCCAGAGAACAGTCTCAGCCTCAACAGCTCAGCACAGGTATACTCAGCTGGGGGGGGGCGGGGGGGAATCCTGGTGGGAAACGCCAGTCAGGCCTCATAGAAAATAGCGCCATCACTTTGACTTAAAATACATGCGCACACCTAGAGGTGGGCTTGATAAAATGCCCTAGAAGGGGAAAAAAGTTCATTCTTGCTGCCAATTTAGATGCAACGACATCTCTATGGGCAGGTTACCCATCTCCGAGCTCTGACTCACATCTCAGCTTTGCTATTTATTGCTCTTTCTGAACATTTCTAACAGCTCCCTGCTGCCAAGAGGGTAATCCTGTTCTCCACACCTCCTCTCATTTGGCAGCCCTGGCCCACCAAGGAGCGGGAGAAGCAGTATTTCAGTTCACTAAGCCAGCAGAAAAATGACCTAGAAAGAAAGCAAAGAACTTCCTTCACGCTTGATTCAACTCACCGAGACAAGTCACATGAGCACCAAAATGAATAAAAGGAAGCAGAAAGATTAGGGTTATTTCTCTTTACATCATGATGGCACAGGCACTTGCCGAGCTAAGATTTTATCCCCACCATTTTCTCTGTGAAACTTGAAGTCTTATTCCATCTTTATTACCGGATCATTGAAGGCATGCTGTGGGGTGAAAGATGTGTTACGCCTACGG